ACCATCAGGCAGCCTCAGGAGGCAGAAGTCCAGTGGGCAGGGCGGGGCCTGGGAAGCTGCTCTCTGCTGGTCCCCTGGTGTGCAGCCAGGCACCTCAAAGTCACACTTGTTCCTTTTAACTGCAAATCAGGTTCTGACCCAGCTTTTCTCTTCCAAGGTTTCCTCCGCTAATGCTCCTTCTCTGGGGTCCAGTCGTGGCTCCACCCTGGACAGCTGTGAGCTGTGGGGTCATAGCAAATGTGAACCAAATGGAGCCGCGGGGTCCTCTCTTGCGACATGGGTAGCAGAAGTGCATGCCTGAACTGGTTGTCCACAGGCCCGGTGGACACGCTGTCATATTAGTCACTTTCCCACTGCTGTGACAAGACACCCGAGGGAAGTAGATAAAGGAAGAAGACTTGCTTCAGCACACAGCTGGAGTGCAGTCCGCTGTGCAGTGCGCCGATGCGGCGAGAGCTTGGGGTGGCTGCTTGGATTGTGTCCACAGCCAGGAAGAGGTCATGAATGCTGGTGCTGGGCTTGCTTCCCCCTTGTCAGGACCCCAGCCGTCTTAATCGGGGTTTCTCTTGCTGTGATGAAACACCAAGAGCAAAGAAACCTCTGGAGGAAAGAGTATATTGGGCTTACATTTCCACATCACAGCCTGTCATCAAAGGAAGCCAGGGCAGGAACTCAAGCAGGGCAGGAACCTGGAGGCGGGAGCTGATGCGGAGGCCATGGAGGGCTGCTTACTGGCTTGCTCCTCATGGCTTGCTCAGCCTGCTTCCTTATAGAACCCAGAACCACCAGCCCTGGGATGGACCCACCCACAATGGGCTGGGCCCTTCTGCACTGATGCCTAATTAAAATGCCTTATAGCTGGATTTTATACAGACATTTCCTCATCTGAGGCTCCTTCCTCTCGGATGACTCCAGGTTTTGTCAAGTTGAGTAGACAGCACGCGGGTCCATCGGATGGTGCCACCTCGGGGGGGGGGGGGTCCTTTCCACTTCAGTTTGCCTAGTCAAGAGAATCCCTCATAGACATGCCCAGAGATTCGTTTCCATGGTGACACAAAATCCTGTCAAATTGACCATCAAAATTACCAAGGTTGCCACTGCCAGATTCCCTCTACCCAAGGGCACTGTCCCTGGATTTGGCTCAACTTTGGTTCATCAGCTGTTGAGGCTGCACTGAAGACCCAGGCTCAAGCATACAGTTCTGGAGAGAAGGATACTTTCTGGAGGCAGCCCATGGCCAGGGGACATTCCCACTGCCGTGTTCAGACGGTCACAACCGGCCAGCTGCATTCAAAGCGTGCCAAAGAACAGGGCTCTCGCTGGGCGGTGGTGGTGCACGCCTTTAATCCCAGCACTCAGAGGCAGAGGCAGGCGGATCTCTGTGAGCTAGAGGCCAGCCTGGTCCACAGAGTGAGTTCCAGGACAGCCAGTACTGTTACACAGTGAAACCCTGTCCCAGAAAAAAAACAAGAAGGAAGGAAAGAGAGAGAGAGAGAGAGAGAGAGAGAGAGAGAGAGAGAGAGAGAGAGAGAGAAAGAAAGAAAGAAAGAAAGAAAGAAAGAAAGAAAGAAAGAAAGAAAGAGAGAAGTGCTCTCATCTCCTGCTTGCTGTGATCTGGTCCTCAGGCTGAACGCTAGCCCCCTGTAATTTCGGCTCTAGAAGGTGGAGATAGGATCCCCACAGCAGGCTGATGAGTGAGATTAAATGTGTCAGTTAGTTCTGGGTTTGACTGAGAGTTCCTTCCTCAGTGATTGAGGTAAAAGAGTTATTTATACCTTAGTTATAGAGACCCAGTCAACCTCAGGCCACCACATGCGTGCACACTCATATGCATGCACACCCACTCTGCATGCAAACACATGCACACATATGAAAATGGAAAAAGAAAATAGAATCGACCTTGCTTTTACCTCTACTTCCCTTTCCGGAATAGCTGGACGCCATATGCAGCCCGGATTCCAAGATCAGCACCACACACAAATAGAGCAAGCTTCGTTCAGGGCCAGCGTGAGGAATAGCGTGAGGAAGATGGGGGGGGGTGGAGAAGGGGGAGAAGCTGATGCTCTGCCTGCAGTGAATGAAATAGTGTGTCGTGGCTTCCATCTCACCAGCCAGAGCAGCCTTGCCAGGTAGCTCTAGCCAGGAAGACCTCCAGCCCCTTCTGAGCCCCACCCCTGTCCTGTTGGTATCTTCTTTCCACTCTGGTATTGGCAGCTCTACCTCCTCTTCCTTCTCCTCCTCTTCCTATTACTAATTTACTTTTGGGGTTTCAAGACAGGGTTTCTCTGTGTGGCCCTGGCTGTCCTGGAACTCACTCTGTAGACCAGGCTGGCCTTGAACTCAGAGATGCACCTGCCTCTGCTGGAATTAAAGGCATGCACCTCCATGCCCAGATCATTTCTTTTCTTTTGTCTTGTTGATACAGAGTCTGGAAAAGGAGTTCTTTTTTTTTTTTTTTGGTTTTTATGAGACAGAGTTTCTCTGTATTGTTTTGGCTGTCGGTCCAGCCTGGCCTCGAACTCACAGAGATCCATCTGCCTCTGCCTCCCGAGTGCTGGGATTAAAGGCATGCACCACCACCGCCCGGTTGAAAAGGAGTTCTTAATTGGTCTAAATAGTAAAAACCTGGAGTCAGAAATCCAAAGCTACCGTTATCCCAATAACTTCCCAGTGGAAAAAGAGAGTTCCTGTTTCTTCTCACTTAAATCCTCTCTCTACCCAGCCATCTCACTTCCTGTCTCTGCCCAGCCATCTCACTTCCTGTTTCCACCCAGCCATCTCACTTCCTGTCTGTACAGACAGTGGCAAGCTCCATTCACTGTTCTGATCTTCAGACAAGCTTTATTTGTTCAAGCAAGATATCACCACACGAGTCACTCTCCTCGTTTCTACCGTGTGAACATGTCACGGTGTGTACACATGAGTGCGCATGCGTTTGCAGGTCAGAAGACAACAGTGGTTGGTTCTATCATGTGGCTTCCAGGAACTGGCCTCAGATGACCTGGCTCAGCAGCAAACACCCTGGCCCACCTACTGAGCCATCTTGCTCCCCACTTACTAGAAAAGTAACAGCTTAGCTTACTTATTTGAAACCTTTATTTTTATTCTTAATTAAGTGTATCTGTCTCTATGTAGACATGGGCATCTGAGAGCAGTACCTGGAGGCCAGAAGAGGGATTGGATCCAGAGTTGGGATCCCCTAGGGCTGGAGTTTCAGGCAGTTGTGCGTGACTGTGTCGGTGCTGGGAACTGAACTTTGGTCCTTTTCAAGAGTAGCAAGGGCTCTTAACCTCTTAACCCTTGAGCCATCTCTCCTCTCTATGCTCTCTCCTTTTATCTGAGCATTTAAGCCGGTAAGTTATCCTGTGGAGCTGCTTCAAGGGCATTCCTGGATATTTGATGCACCATGCCTATTTTCCTTAATGACTTTTAACTCGATTACATTGTAACCAGAAAAGATATACTGAATATCTTAGTTTCTTTAAATTTGTTAGGATTTGGCATGATCCAGGGTGTGGTGGCTATTTCTGATGCAATATAAAAGGATGTGTGTTCTGATATTGTTGGGCTGAGTGTTCTAGAAATGTCAGTGAGAGATGAGTGATAGATGGTATTCATTCTCTCTGTATCCTGATTTTTATCATTTATTTATTTATTTTGTCAATTACTGGGAAAACTGAGTCACCGTCGATATGAATCAGCCGAGCCCAGGATAGAATGCCACTTCTGAAGAACAAGATGCCTTAGCTGTCTGGGAGCTGAATCACAGCACGTTTATGGGTCCTTGGGCATTAGTGGCACCCTCTCATGAGCAGGTGCACATGAATTTGTGTCTCACCTGTCCCCTGCTCCCTGCATAGGGAAATGACTCATTTTCAGCTGTCACCTGTGTGCCCCCCAAACACATGTTTAGACTTAACTGCATGTGTCTCTATGGTGTCTTTGAGGAGGAAGGTTGGTCACTTTCTGAGCATCCCTGTCCCCTCCCCTTCTATTCCCTGCTAAAGATTGTGTGGTTTCCCTGAGCTATGTGTGCCGATGGAGGGAAATGGGTAAGTGAATGCAAATTTAAAAGGGCAAAGTTGGGCCAACAAGATGGCTCAGTGGTAAAAGTGCTTCTTGCAGCATAAGCCCGAGTACCTGTGTCCAAGCCCCAGAAACCACATAAAGAGCCAGACACAACAGCTCGCATCTGCGATCTCCGCACTCCTTCTGGGACATGGGGCTGGAGGGCGGCTCAGAAGTCCTCAGGCCAGCTCACCTGGAGTACACAGCATGGCAGAGATAAGTGAGACCCGGCTTCAAAAGGATGCAAGAAAAGGAGCAACTCCCCAAAGTGTTCTCGGACTTCATTGTGTGTGACACGGCACCCACATGCTCCCACGCACATGCACCCCACATACACACACAGATTATGAATAATAAGAAATTAAATTTAGTTTTTTGCATAAAAAATCCACTGTTTTTTAGAAGGAGGGAAAATAAAACCCTAGATTTGGAAGGGAAAGAAGGGCTTGGGCCAGGAGAAACTTGGAGGCAGACAAGAGGAGCAAATGTGTGATTTCCCTTTTGTTAGTACCCTGGGTATTCCAGCGAGGACCGGCCATCTCTCTGATGCCTGAGTTTCCTTTGTGTTCCTTTTGGCTGTGGCCACCTCACTGAGTGGGGCCTGAAGGTCAGACAGCGGCCAGGCTGTTATGTTCCATTCGCTCATTCAAGTGACACCCCACGGGAACCCCGGAAGATGGGTGCGGTGGGCTTGCCCTCATGCCTGGACCGGAAGGTATGAACTGTGCTCTTCTGGCCAGGATGGGGGACCTGGCAAGAATGGCGGCCAGAGCTGACACTCAGGGGACAGCTTCATGACTGAAGTATCGTGTTCAAAGAGAATTGCTTCCTCCAAGAGCCGGTCATCAACTCCCTCAGCGAGCATCACGTATAATACACACACACACACACACACACACACACACACACACACACACACACACACACACACGTATATTTTCCCTCTTTCAAGTTTATAGAACCAGGGACAGGGTGTTACTCAGAGATGTTTGGGAAGAAAGGGGAAAAAATTAAGTCTTCCCACATGATGAGCCTGTCCTTTCCATCCACTCGAGGCTGAGGTGTCGAAGCTTGGAACCAGAGGGAACGGCAGCTTGTCGCTCAGCAATTACAGAGTGCTTGCTGGATGCATCTGGTTCAGGGCTTTCGCAGCACCTGACATGGGAAAGATGGGCAAGGGCTGGGGAGAAAGCTCTGCCAGGAAGGTACGTATCATGGCTGGAGGCTGTAGCTCAGTTGTAGAGTGCTTGACTGAGGTCCTAGGTTCAATTCCCCTGTGCCAGCAAAACACAAACAAACAGGAGTCGGCAAGATGGTTAAGTGTAACAGTGCTGCCTCTGAGGGTGATAGCTGGTGTTCACAGAGCCTGTGTGGTAGCAGCAGGGGAGCATGGACTCCTGGAAGTTGTCCCCTGACTTCCACATACAAACACATATGGGGAGGGGGGAGGGAAGGAGGGAGGGAAGGAGAGGAGAGGGGGTGGGGGAGGAGGGAGGCAGGTGTCAGGCAGGCAGGTACGTATTGTTGGTGTGGCGTGGGTTTTACCCACTTTGACCACTGTCGGGTTTGCTTACCTCCAAAAGGAGAGGGCCTCTAGCCACCTTCCTCCCCCTGCCATCATTATTTAGGGTTCAAAGTCCAGCTTAAGCAGGCCCAAGGAAAGGTCTGCAACCCTTCCCATTGTCCCCCATACACTGGGGGGGGCAGGGACACAAGGATTTTCTTGTAGTGAGCTGCCAGTGTGTTCACAGCTACAGTGCTACCATATTTCACAATGATCTGAGGCTAAGGATGAAAATAAACACAAAGACAGCGGCTCATTCTTACAAGGAGAATGGCGTTTATTTTTTACAAGGGTAGAGCCTTATATACCAAAGTCAGGGCCCTCCAGCAAAGGGGTGGGCCAAAAACAGGAATTAGCATTTAGACAATAAATAGGAACTTGCATGCAGGTCTCACTGGGAGGGGACAAGAAGTGTTTTGCTAAAAGCTCCTAGTAACAAGCGGTCAACAGACCCCCATGGGGGAAGGGTGCAGCAAATCCCCCTTTTATATATAATTAAAAAATGAGCATCTGGCTTAGGTTGCCTGGAACATTAACATCTATCTTACCAGTCAATGAGAAGTCTGTCCAGGCCTCACAAACTCTCTGTCTTAGGTTGGTAGATGTCCCCCAGGACGTACCTGTCAATGATAACTCACTTGTCTTGCTGGTTCAACCAGGCCTGCACTGAGGGGTTGTCTGTTGACAAGGAAAGCATGATCTGCTTTGTAAGAAAATGGCGCTGGGCTTGTGGCCTTTCCATGTGTCAAAGGCAAACTAGGGCTAAAGACTGTGTTGCCCAGGGTCATAATCCTGAGGGCTAGTGACCCACTCCGTTTCTTAAGTAAAAGACCTGTCTGTTGCAGTCCCGTTAAGAGAGGGTCTCCCAAAAGGGAGGCACCCTGATCTCAGATAGATTAGCCAATTAAGTCCATTTGTTAATTAAGATTTAAAATGCACAATTGTAATTAGTATAAAATTGGGAACTTAAGGTAGAGGCATCCTCCCCTGGGGGTTTATCCAGCGTGTCTGCCATGGCAACTGGCTAAGAGATAGGGAAGCTACAAACTGCAGCCACTGTGATGTCAAAGTTTCTCCTGTGTGGTGTGAGGATGAGTTGGTTCTCTCCTGACTGATCCACTGGAATAGGCATGACACCTGGGACACGGACCACCAAGGCTGATCAACAGCTTCTCAAGCGGCATTCCTGGAGGATATAATTAAACATTTCTCCTGAGGGAGTGTTACTGAATTTGGCAAATGTCCAAGCAGGCAAATCCATCCTGACAGCTGCCTTTCCTAGGCTATGGTTGAGGCTGGTTATAGCTGGATATACCTGACACTGAAGACCCGCCGGCATCAGGACAGGCCGGTTCCTCATTAAAGCCTCATGAGTCTATAGGCGGCTGATGAGTATCAGCAGGAACAGAGCGCACACAATGCTCTGGAACCCAAATTGGAGACTCACCATGCTGTGGGAATACACAAACAGACCCCCAGGCCCATACCAAAACTGGATCTGGTCCTTTCCAAAGACCCGAGGTTAGGTCTTTCCATTTAACTAGAGGTTTTTTCTGTACAGCAGACCGCCAATGGTGATCTGCTACGGAGTTGTCAGAATCATCCACAATTAAAAAATTTAAGATATAGAGGATAAATAATAGAGTAGAGTGAGGGGAGCCAAGGTGGCCCCCAAGATCCCCCTTCCTTGGGTGTTGTAAGGAATTCCGGTTTTGAGGGATATATCAAAATCTACACAAAAGTGATTGAAACCTCTGCTGACACAGGCGGGGCCATTATCAGTCTTAATTTGTTTTGGGACCCCCATATAATCAAAATCCTGTAAACAGTGGCTCTTAACATCTTTTACTTTTTCACCAGAGTGGACAGAGGTGAATATCAGGTGGGAAAAAGTATCTACAGAAACATGGACAAGTTGTAATTTGCCAAAGGATGGCATATGTGTCACATATATTTGCCAAATGCAGTTAGGCAAAAGTCCTCGAGGATTGACCCCCCAGGTGAGGCACAGGAAGAAATTCTATACAAAGAGGGCAATCCTTAACTATTTGAACAGCCTGTTCTTTGGTAATCCCAGTGTGAAAGCACAAAGACCCTGCACTAAGATGCAGGTGCTTGTGCAGGGATTGTGCTTTAGTGAGCCCTTGTAAAACTGCACCAATATGAGCATACCTGTCATCCATGCGATTTCCTTCGCTGAGGGGCCCTGGCAAAGGGGTGTGGGCCCTAAGATGTCCCACAAATATAGGTTTGCTCCGTTGCCATAGCAGACCTTGTACCTGTAATAAACTTTCTTGTATCTTAGAGATGGGAGCAACATAGGCAGCAGTCTCTAAGGGTTGGATAATATGAGCAACGTATTAACTATCAGTATAGATGTTTAATGCTTCTGTGGGGAAGAGTTGTAGAGCCAAGGCCAGGACTGAGTGTTCAGCCATTTGAGCAGAAGTTGCAGGAATTCTGGCTGTCTTAATGATTGGATAAGACACGACTACAGCTGTACCTTTAGAGGAACCATCTGTGAAAACCACTCGCCCCTTAGAAATAGGCCAAGGGACCCCAATTTTTGGGAAGATTAAAGGATGCATTTTAGAAAAAGAAACCAAATTGTTGGGTGGGTAATGATTATCAAAACAACTCTTGAGTAACAGAGAGAAAAATGGCCCAGTCACAATTATTATTTTGTAGCCATTCTATTTGTTGACAGGACAAAGGTATAACAACCTGATCTGGCTCTCTCTTTACCAAAGGTTTGTAAGGCAATTTTTTGCATATAAACAGCAGTGCAACTATATCTTGGGGATAGGACACCACAGATTTAGAAGGGGAAGCTCGAGAGTGAACCCAAGAATGGGACTCTCTTGCCAAAAAACTCCCATAGGAGCATGAGCAGAACAAAACACTAACAATTTTAGAGGCTGGGCATAGTCTATATAATCCAAACGAGCCCCTCCTAAGGCTTTTCCAATCAAATGAATACACTCCCGTCCTGCTGTAGTGAGGACTCTGGGAGAGTTGGGATCTGAGTCCCCTTGTATCTCTCAGAAGCTTTTGAAAATCATTTAAGGTCTTAAGGGTGTCCAGGCGAAGACTGACCTTTTGAGGGTGCACCCCGTTATAAAGCAAGCGGTGTCCTAGATAATGATATGGAAATTCCTTCTGTGCTTTCTCTGGTGCTAATTGTAAGCTAGCTAACCCTAAGGTGGTCTGAAGATCCCCAAAGGCAGACAATAATAGCTTTTCTTTTGGCGCAGCCAACAGTAAATCATCCATATAATGAAATATATATAATTGAGGATATTTTTGTCTGACTGGTTCTATAGCCTGAGAAACATAAATTTGACACATAGAAGGGCTGTTAGCCATGCCTTGGGGCAAAACTACCCACTGATATCTCTTATAAGGTTCTCTTAAGTTCAAAGATGGAACACTGAAAGCAAAACGCTGACAATAAGCAGGGTGTAAAGGAATATTAAAAAAAACCCTTTAAATCTATCACAAGTAGGTGCCAGTCTTTAGGGATGGCCACAGGGTTTGGCAGCCCTGGCTGGGTGGCACCCATGAGCATCATGGTCTTATTAACTCGTCTCAGATCTTGTAACAGCCTCCACTTACCTGATTTTTTCTTAATAACAAATATGGGGGTATTCCAGGGAGAGGTTGAGGGGACAATATGACCAGCATCGAGTTGTTCCTGAGCCAAAGCAAGAGCAGCCTCCAACTTTACTTTGGATAGGGACCATTGTTCCAACCATACGGGTTCATCATTTCTCCGAGTGATAGAAATTGGAGGCATTTGAATAATGGCCCCCTCTAAAAATGTCCCAATCCTCTCTGGTCTCCAGGAGATCTCTGCACTGGGGGTTTATCAGACACAGGCAGAGAATCACTCTGTAGACTCTTTCCAATACCTTTGCCTGGGCAATAGCCTTGCTCCCTAAGCATATGTTGTACATGGCCTTTAGGATATCTTTGCCCCAGAGATTGATCAGAATATGAGGCAAGATAAAGGGTTGAAATATACCAGAGTGTCCCTCGTCATCTTTCCAAGTTAATAGACGGGAACTTTTACTAGGTGACTTTGCTATGCCTATGCCCTATAAACCACTATCTGACTCTTGCAGGGGCCAAGCTTGTGGCCAATGGTTAAGAGAAATGACGGATATGTCTGTTCCCGAATCTAAAAGTCCCTGAAAGGCCTGCCCCTCAATAGTTAAGGTCGTCATTGGTCTGGACTCCATAGTGGACACCCAACAAGCCATAGGTCCTGTGGATCCAAACCCCCCTTCTCCTCTTACAGGCTTAAGGAAGGGATTATTAGTTGTAAACTTAGGGGACAAAATTAATTGAGCAATTCAAGCTCCTTGGGGTATAACAGTGACTCCCTTGCCAGCTTCTACCATAATTTTGATCTCTCCTTCTGTATCTTCATCAATAACTCCCGGAATGACTTTAGCTCCCTTAAGTAGAGCGTTATTCCTTCCTAAAATCAACCCAATTGACTCCCGTGCCCAAAGCTTGGGGTCCCATCTGAGGAGTCAAAACTGCTCTGGTGGAGGAACAGAGGTCCAGTCCTGTGCTTCCTGGGGTACCTCTGACAAGGTCCTGGATACAAAGGGGTTCCTCTGAGGTAGGACCTGAATAGGATGGGGAACAGGTGTATCCAGGACTTCGTACACCTGGGAGTAAGGGGTCTGGAGTGGACCCTGACTCCCATTTCCTGAAGGTGGATCCCTGTACAACAGTCTTAGATAGACAATTTCTGGCCCAATGATATCCTCTTTTACAGAGGGGGCAAAGACCTAGCTCTGAATGAGGGGGTGCAATGGAGTCCTTAGCAGGACAATTTTTCTGAAAGTGGCCTGCTTGCTTGCATCCGAAGCATGTCTTAGGTCTAGGCCCCTCACTGACCTTTCTATTTCCTTGTATAGCAGCAGCAATAACTTGTCTCATAATGTGATATTCATCTATATCTCTACAAATGCGAATATAATCATTGAGGCTCCTGGTTTTGTGAGATCGTAAAGCCTCCTTGCAGTATTTATTAGCATTTTCAAAAGCTAATTGCCTTACTAAAGGCATAGCATTATCAGTATCCCCAAATATATGATCTGTAAGTTGTAGGAGCCAGTTCACAAACTCAGAATAGGGTTCAGACGATCCCTTTGGACATTAGAAAGTTGGTCTCCTGCAGCCTTATGAGGCAAGGCTTTCCATGCACGGCCAGCGGCTGCTGAGATCTGTGCATAAACAGCTGGGTCATAAAGAATTTGCTGGCCTAGAGTTGCATAGGCTCCCGTGCAGGTAAGCATTTCTAAATTCCTATCAGGAAAACTGGCAGCCGCATTGCTCTGAACCATCTGGTCACACAGTTCTTGGTATTCACCCCTCCAGATCAAATAATCTCCCCCAGACAGTGTAGCATGACATAATTGTTGCCAATCACTTGGGGTACAATTTAAGGCTGTAAAGGATTCAAAGATGGCCAGAGTGAAAGGGGCATGAGGCCCATATGCCATAACTGCCTTCTTCAACTGTTTTATATCCTTAAAGTTAAGAGGGGAGTGTTCTCTGACTCTGGCCTTGAGGATTAACTGTCTCTATACCTGAAAACATCACTCCGCCCTTATGCATTTCAGTAGGGGCTGAAGGAAGACAGAGAGAACTGGAATGTTCAGGACTACAGGCAGGAGGACACAGTTCAAGGGAGCATTTTTTAAATTTGTTTTTTAATTTGGGGACACCTTTCTCCATCTCAGCCCCAAAGAGGGAGAGGACTCAGAAGAGGAAACAGTGGAAGCTTGAATTAATCTGGTAGACTCTAGGTCTTGAGCCTCTTTGAAGGTATCCCTAGTTTTTCCCACCTGTTCTTTCATTACCGTATTATCACTAACAAGACGCCACAGAGAAAAGACAACAATTGGTATGGCGTTTGGCCCTTCTTTATGCAAAGTTCTTTGTAGGTCCACTCTAACCTGGTTCCAATCAAGGGAATTAATATCACCAGAGACCAAAAACCAAGGGCTGACTTTACGTATAGTTTTTAAGAAGTCCTTATCTGACTTATGTCTGATAATTGTGCCCTGGCATTGTAACAATTGTATCAAATGGTCCTCCAAAAGAGGGTAGGAACCAGCAGCACCCATACCTAATAT